GTAAGTCCGCAGACATATCGCTGTGCCATTGGGGGGGGGGTAATAAAGTTGAACATCTAGAGGGGTTAGGTACATTATATTAAAATGATTTTGGAACCTCAATACGTCGTTAGTCCATGTCGCCACCTCCGGCCATGCTCCGTCTGATGAAAGTGCACCTTGACAAGAGCTCTGTGGCGCATTTTTCATTGCAAAAGACGCCGTCGTAAGGCTGTTATGTCTACAGTACGCTATACATTTCTGTAGACGTTGCACCTCGCGACTTTATCGTGATGTCTTTGTATGGAATGGAATGAATATCTGTTTAATTTTTCAGCTGTATGAAGTATGAAACGGTTGAACATTAGGTGTGACTAGAAGCTATATTTTTTGTGAACACATTCCCTTTTTGGTCTCATTTCCAGATGTAACTCCTTCTTGATTAGGTAGCGTACTGTTGCCTGGGACACTGATCTTTGTAATTTTGGATCCTAAGCCGTTAGAATTAAGACGTCGCACTTTGCTTACCACAGCTTGGGCGCGACTTGTGGCAAGTCTCTTTTACGAAGGTGTTGGTGTCCCAAGTTGATCCATATTTCTTTGTTTTCCAATGACATTAAATACAAGGGATGTCCTCATCTTGAAAGTTCTAAATCCGTAGTCTGAACACATCTTTACTTGTCTAAGTGTATGAATATTATGCGTCGGAAAGGATTGTTAGTTATCCTTCCAAAAAGCGACTAGCTTTCAGTGCCATCGCACTAAGTAGGAAACGCCAAATAGCGTCAAAATGTAATTCTGATACATGCCGTTTTATTACTGCTGAGCGTCCCTTCACTATACAGCGGTGGTCTGCAATATCAACAGTACGAGTATTTAGAAATCCTATTATCATCAGAAGAGGCAGACTGCTGTTATGTACCGAAGTAGAAACAATAGAATGCAATACGGAGTTGAGTACGTTATATTAACACGACTGTGAATATACAGTCGACATATAGTTGCAGTGGTGAGTTTTCTTCGTTACATTTCTTTTTCATGAGGGTTGGTTGTTAGAGATCAGCCTTAAGATTGATGGTTTTGTTGATGTATGTAACACACGCCAATGTCAGGAAGTTCATGTATTTTTTATCGTAAGGGAACAGTTGCAGGCATACAGCTGTTACACCAATCGTCAACTGTAGGAGATTGTGATGAATGGACTGATTAAAACTAAGCACCAAAAGACGTACACTTGTATAAGCAAAACAAGTTGATTAAGGTGTATACCTAAATGATATATAAGACACAGGAAAGGATGATGGACGATAACAGTGGTACCTCTTAGTTAAGTATACCAAGCTGGCATGCCCTCAGGTTTGAAAAATTCCGCTCATATTTCAAATTAACAAGCTACAGAAGCACAAAGAGGAAAACTTATACATATATAAAGTAATTATTTGTATCAATAAACAAACTTTGAATGATAGATTAACAGCAACTGAAATGAATAGACAGACGAACAGATAAATAGACAGATGGATAGAATTTGTTTGTTATGGATTTCGCGCAAAGCTACCCGAGGGCTGTCTGCGCTAGACGTCCCTAATTTAGCAGTGTAAGACTAGAGGGAAGGCAGCTAGTCATCACCACCCCCCGCCAACTCTTATAATCTTACATCCAATTCTATAATGTAAAATTTACTTACCTCTTGAGAGTTTCATACTATTGTGTTAAATCAAAGATACAATGCGCTGTTCATCTATAAATTGTATAGTCCCTCCCCCTCCAGTGGCACAGCGGTAAGTCTGCGGACTTATATCGCTAGAAACCGGGTTTAGATACCCGTATTGGCTTGTTTGTTTGTTATGAATTTCGCGCAAAACTACCCGAGGGCTATCTGCGCTAGCCGTCCCTAATTTAGCAGTGTAAGACTAGAGGGAAGGCAGCTAGTCATCACCACCCACCACCAGCTCTTGGGCTACTCTTTTACCAACAAATAGTGGGATTGACCGTAACATTATAACGCCCCCCACGGCTGAAAGGGCGAGCATGTTTGGTGTGACGGGGATTCGAACCCGCGACCCACAGATTGCGAGTCGAGCGCCCCCTAACCACCTGGCCATGAATAGGTAGAAAAATCCATAGACAGTTTGATAGAGAAATAATACGAATGATAAAAAAAAAAGAGACGGAATTCATCACCCCTTAAAGGTAGATAGAGAGAGAACGAATGATAGATTACATGTTATTTACTGTTATTAATCGATCTTCAATGTAATATATCCCGATTTTCTTCACCTTTGTATATCTATTTATTTAGATTGAATTAAGAGGTAAATTGATCATTCAATTCAAATTCATGGCAGGAATTTAGGTTTAAAAATCTTTCAGGTCTGCAGACCTGAAAGACGACCCGGGGGTGGTCAGAAACTTCTGTGTAAATTGTTTTTGTATCAGAATATCTTATATATTTTTTTTCTATCTTTATTCCGAAATCTTTTTATCGTCGTCTTGATAAGTTAGCGACCTGTAAAATATTTTGCTACTATGATTTAATGCTTTGGTTTTTTTTTCGTCTTATTGGTACTAAATATTCTTAACTTTCTTTCTTTTTTACATAAGAACAGTGAGTCGTACTTAAATATCTAAATTTGCCTTAAGTATGAATATTATTAATTTTACAGGTTTCTGTTAAACTTTAATTAATGATTACGTATTTCCGGTCTTTCTTCGGAAGTCTGTCTCTCAAAGATTTTTCTCTGTGCACATGCTGACGACATCCATTAGCGTAAAAGCTTTGCAGTGATTAATGTTGAACCAGTTTTCTTCTGATGGTAACTGTTTATGGTGATGGAACCTCCCCCCCCCCCTCTTTAAGACCCGTGTGGCTTTATGCGCTTGTTTTGAATGTAAATATTTATAGATTTAAACAATGAGTGTCTGTACTTGGTTTGAATGAGATTACATAAATTATTGAACAGTTATAACATGTAGTTTTGATTTCAAAGTACGCAAGTCGATATATCTTTTTTGGTGTGTTTGAT